GATACACCATGTGGGCACAAATAACCCCATTTGTGTGAATTCACAGATGACCACTAAAAGAACTATAGTTACAGCTATGCAATCTGTCTGTCTAGAAAATCCTGCTATTTTGTACTCTGTGATCCTATATTGGCACACTGCTTACTGAATGTCTCATTTAGAGAGATTTGGAAGTGGTGCTATCTTCCTCTCCCAATTTCCCTAGTTAAATTGCACCATTTTATTTCCAGTTAGTTATATATTAATGTTTGTGGTATCATCTTCGTCATCATCATCATCATCAATTTGATTTATACCCTACCCTTTCTTACCTAATAAGAGCTCAAGATGGCTAACAAATTACAAAAAAAACCAAACCTCAGTTAAATTACAATTGACAAATAAGTAAAATTGCAAATTCTGTGGCTGTAAAAATAGTGATCCCCAAAATCACAAGTTACAAAATTGTTCTGTTGACATTAACTTTGAAAACAGAGACCTGCTCAAAGTATTTAACATATTTGGAACAAATAGTTTATGATGATGTAGGGAAAAATCAGAGAAGAAAATCTGCTCATCATTCCAATGACAACAGGAGACCTGATGCAGAGAGCACTTTTGCTAGCAGGAGTTCTACTGTGTTTCACATAAAGTGAGGAAACAGCTGGTGTGTGTGTGGGGAGGGGATTGTTCAAAGTTCAGAAGATTGGTATTCAAAATAAAATGGGGAGAGACAAACACAAAGAGGTGGAAAACACACAAAGAAATAAGTGGATAAGGAATGAAATGGGGATTGTCTGCTGGGGATGCTTAGCGTTTCATTTGGTCTGCATTTTTAAAGCAAACAGATAGGATACGCATTTCCTGGACATGGACCAAAATGCTGTTGTGTTTCAGTTTTCCACTTCTCTGAATTCTGAGATGCTGTTCTCAGCTAAAAATATATATATGTAAATAACACTGTTTAGGCTAAAATTAGTACAAAAATGTGTATTGGGTGAATACATTGAAGAAGTAGCAGGGGGGAAGAGGAAGATTTTTTTAAAAAAATTGAAGAGATGGAACAGCCATAGAAACAAACAGCTATAAAAATGACATAGATGAAAAACACTTTGATCTCTGAAGTCAGGAGTGGCTTTAACATTAGGCAGAGTGAGGCAATTGCTTCAGGTGACATATGCTGGAGCAAAACACCAGTAGCAGCCCTCCAGCTGTTCCTTCTGGGTTTCCTGGCTTTTTCTTTTTTCTGGCTCAGAGAATTGTACTGTGTGTATCACACACTCTCTCCTTTGCTTCAGGCAAAACAAAATGACTCGGAGCTGGCCTCGTCTGTATCACCTGTCTGCATTTTTAATCTTACTACACTAATTGTTTGAGATTTAGTCAATTAAGATATTAATTGATTAAATTTGCATAAATATAAGGTAGCACCTGCTATAGAGCAAAGGTTCTATAGTAGGTAGCACCTGAGAAGAGGCTAAGCTCTTTTGTTTTTGCAAGCACACAGTCATGCCTCTTCTAAAATGATGCTTGCCATGCAGGCTTATTTTTTTTTTTTTTTTGAAAAAATAAACACTTCTGACTATATGGCTGTAGAATATGTAAATCTGCTAAGGGATGAATCAGGGTCTATTGGGCTTTAAAATGATTATGTTTGTTGTTTTCTAAATGTATACATTGTGCTCAGTGTCTATCAGTGTGATCAACTACAATTTAAAAAAATCACAGTATCATATACCTTCCAATGTCTCTGAGTGGTGGAGACATGTGAAAGGGCTTTGAAAGGTAGATGTAAATTATTGGCCAGTTCATATGAAATAGGGAATGAAGGATTGCCAGCCATGAATGAAATTGGAGGAAAGTAATGAATACAAGGTAGGAAATAGCAGTACTGTCTGACCCAGGTCTGTTGGAACAACCATATCTAGTTTGAGTACACACCGAACATCAATTTTTTGCTGATACAATTATTTCTACAGCCTTCTTTTATGTTACCAGCTACTTTACAGTCCACCTTTTGCTAAACTTCACAATAATTGCAGGGTGGAGGGAACATCACTTGAAAGTTTTATGTTGGTCCAAAACACACTGCAGGAATAATCCAGTTTGAGACAGCTTTAACTACCCTGGCTCAGTGCTTGGGACACCTGGGAACTGTAATTTATTGCAGCACCAGAGCTCTCTGATAGAGAAGGCTAAATGTCTCACAAAACTACAGTTCTCAGAATTCCCTAGCATTGAGCCAGGACAGTTAAAGTGGTCTCAAACTGGATTATTTCTGTAGTGTGTTTTGGACCCTAGACCTTTTGGAGGTTTACACTGCTATAGACTGGACCATCATCATATTTCTGAGAAACTAAGAATAATTTGGATTCTGACAATACCTGCTTCTTTTGAATATCAAAATCTATTCTAATTTTCCAAGGTTGTCCCAACCCACCCTTCAAATAGGTGAATGAAATTTATGTTTTTTAAACTATGCTTTCCTGAACTCATCAGTAGAATTGGAACGCAAAACCTCTCCACAACCAGTTGCAACTTCCCATTGACATCCTCACATATATATGTCTGTGCCTGGCCTCCACTCCACCAAAAGCATCTGAGGAAGTAGACTGAAGTTTATGAAAGCTCATGCTGCCAATTTCTTTCTGTTAATCTCAAAGGTGCTACAAGAACTCTTCCCATTCACTGTTATTAATCAGTATGCTAGCTCCAATCAAGCAAATATCATGTAGCCCAGTGCCAGAAGTTTGAAAAAAATATTCAGTTTCAGCTTATCCATTCAGCCAAAAGATCTCACAATGAAACATATACATCAGGACAGGTCAAATACATTTTGCTGCTTGAAGAGAGGGCCAAAATGGAGTTCCTCCTTATTCCACCTACAGAAGAAAACTGTATTAGTAGCTGAATTTACTAAAGTTGCTCATACAATCCTCTGTCACACCTGAAGCAATTATTTTAGGGGATCCTAATTAGGTTAATTGGCTTCCATAGTACTGTCTTCCAACAGAGAGAATCGAAGCTCAAGAAGTACAGTCCCCCAACATTTGCCACATGAACACATTAACTCACTCTGCCTAATGACAGGACTGGTTGGTATGCAAGTATATCATCTGACATGTATAGGCAAAATTCAGGAACACAAATCTCTGATGTTGCCATCACGTGCTGCATTAAATTTGTCTAATCTGTGCAGGAACCTATAAGTCTCCAGATATTGTTGGACTACATCTTCCGTTAGACCTAGCCAGCTTGTTGAGGGATGCTTGAAATTGCTGTCCAACATTCTGGGGGAAATCACACATCCCCCCCCCCCGTTCCTGATTTAAAGCCTTCTGTATTTTAAATCAAATTTTACTGCCAGTCCATGGCAGTAAATTTTGTACATTAACCATGACATTAGCATTCCTCAATTTGAAACCCTCTAGAATCTGCCAAGAATCCACATGGATAAAATGAACCCTGCATGGATCCTCCCCAGCAATATGCATTGATTTCTTGGCCAGCTAAGAAACTACAATGCTCAACTTGGTTTTGTTCTGATCTTACTTTCTACTTGAATTGATTAAAACGAAAAACCTGGTTGGATTGAGAGACTTAATTACAGTTGTTCGTTATACAACTTGCTTTGCCCTTTCTTATTTTTACGTGCCCCTCTTTCTCTTTTTCTGCCTTTGTGCATGTTCCTCTGAACTTAGAAATATTATTTTCACCTCCCCCTTCCCCATTTTGTCTGAACGTGCGCCTTTGTCTCTCTGCGACTCAGGGTATTAACATGAGAGCAGCGGCATTAATATTGATGTGGACCTCCCTTCATAGAAGCTTCATTTCAGAGAGTGCCAGCAGCATATAAATAGTATTACTGGGTAATTAGTGAGCATCAAGCTGTGCTCTGATTTATCAGAATTTTATGTTTCAGTCCATTCCCCTCCTCTTGGTTTCCAGTCCAGATTCTCCCTAAAGAAACACTAGGCAAGTCTCCTGTGTGGCTGAATTGGAATGAATGGGGCCAATTCAAGAACAGACATGCATCGTTGCAGAGCTGCCATTCATCTCAACAGAGCTTATCAGAGACTTTGAGAGAGATTTTAAGAAGAAACTATAGTTATAGTTCCAAGATTTTTTTAAAAAGTTATTCGTTGTCATTATGCTTGCACTTTTAAAAAGTTAACAGTTTACTTTAAAATTGCTCAAAATATATGAAATAAATACTTTTAAGTGGTGTTGTTGTGTGCCTTCCAAGTCACTTTCGACATATGGCAACCCTAAGGCTGGGTTGCCCATCATGGCATTTTAATAATAATGCAATCGGGCGACTTACAGTATTAAAACCAAGATAAAATACATACAAAATTACAAAACCCTCCCCCCTTAAATAAACAAAGAACGATATAAAATAAACTTAATAACATAACAATCATAATAACAGCAGCACAAAAAGGGGGAATAATAATAATAATAATAAGTTTTATTTATAACCCGCCCCTCTGCTCGGCAATCGGGGCGGCATACAACAAATTAAAAATACAATAGATAAAACAATTCCTGCCACCCACCTCCCACCCACCCACCCCTTAAAACAGAATTAAATCTTTAAAAAATTAAAAATAAAGCCGAGATAAAATACAAACATTAAAACTATCCAACCAGCGAGCTAGCTGGAAAAAGGATTAATCTAGGTCGAGGGGCCAGGAAGAAGGATTAATCTAGGTCGAGGGGCCAGGAAAACTATTCAGGAAAGGCCTGCCGGAAAAGATCCATCTTAACAGCCTTTTTAAAGCTGTTCAAGGTGGTAATAAGATGGATCTCATCCAGAAGGCCATTCCATAGTACTGGAGCGATAGCAGAGAAGGCCCTCTGGGAGGTTGCAGACAGCCTTGTTTTAATGGGCTGTAGCAGATTCCTCCCAGAGGACCTGGGTGACCTGATCTTGACAGATTTCTTCAGATAAGGTTTGCCATGGCCTCCTCTGAGGTTTAGAGAGTATGACTTGCTCAACTTCATCCAGTAGGTTTACATGGCCAAGCTGGGATTCAAACCATGGTCTCTAGAGTCATAGTCCAGTGCTCAAACCACTACACCAAGCCAGCTCCTTCTAAATGCTTTAAAAGAAATAGAATGCTAACAGAAACTGGCCTCTGGTACAAAACATCCTCTTCTCCCACATACCTCACTGTTGCCCCAGAGCATAAGGCAACATCATAGGGCAGTGCATGAACCCGCACTTGAACTATTTGATATTCCTTCTCTGTCATACCTACATGAAGATAAAACTAACTACTCATTTATATTTCACATTAAAAGTTACATTTATGCTATAGAAGGAGTGAAGTCATCTTTTAAGCTAAAATAGTATTTTCAGTTGGTTATGTCTTAGTTATTGTGGAAAGGAATCAACCACAAGTCATAATTTTTAATATGTTACTTTCAACCTCTGATGCTTATATACAGAATTCTACTGTATATAACTGAGGTGGCAGCTTCCATTATTCCTCACCACTAGGCATACTAGTTAGGGCCCAGATGGCAGTTGGAGTCCACTAACATCATGGCTTCATACCCTTGATATTTGCTTAGGTTAGGTTCCAGGAACAACACCCCACCCCTACTCTAGGGATACCAAAATCTGTAGATGCTCATGTCCCATTAAATAAATGGTATAGTGAAATTGTGTCCCTTATATAAAATGGTAAAATCAAAGTTTGCTTTTTAAAATTAATTAAAACAATATTTTCACGTCATGGGTGTGTGAATCAGTGGATAAAAAAATCTGTGGATATGGAGGGCTGGCTGTACCTGTTTGTTGTTATATGCCATCAAGCCATTTGTGGCTTATAGTGACCCATATGGCGCCATATCATAGGGTTTTCTTGCCAGTATTTGTTCAGAGAGGGTTTGCCTCTGCCGTCTTCTGATGCTGAGAAAGTATAACTTGCCTAAGGCCACCCAGTGGGCTTCCATGACCACATAGAGATTCAAACCCTGTTCTTCAGAGTGCTAGTCCAATACCCAAATCAGTTCACCATGCTGGCTCTCATACCTGTACTAGGACCCTTTAGCAGGAAACAAGTAAGCTTATCGCACTGTGTTCTCGGAACGTAATGAGTACGTGATGAGAATGGAATGGAACAGATTTTATCACATGGTATGATCCTCATCGAGTTCCCATTCTGTGCTCTGACAGTCCCTAGCCCGTTCCAGGAGGAGAACTGTAAAAATGCATCTTCGGCCAGCAAGAATGCTTTCAGACCATTCCATATGATATGTGTGCGATAATCCTACCCAGTCTCAATCTGACTTTGCGTTCAGATTAGCTAAGAAAATCTCCTCCCTTCCCATCCTAGAACGTCCACAAACTCAACTCAACTCTTCCAGTGTTGATACAAGGAAGGTGCCACAGGCAATTTAAAATATTGCCTGTGGCACCTTCCTTGTAATATTTACAAGATTGTATCTTGTAAACACGACGCAATCCAATCTACATATATATATGTATGTATGTAGATTGGATTGCGTCATGTTTACAAGAAAAAAACAATGAATGGTTGCTACCTAAACCTCTTGGTAGCATTCTTTCCAATGCAGACATAAGGGTTTTCGCAACAGTGAGCATGCGCCAATGAGGGATGGCTGAGGAACTACTTTATCGCCGGTACCGGTACAACAGTAAATGCAGTGCAATAATATGTGTCCTCATAAGCCTGATTCAAGATGCTTGGTGCTTATCTGTAATGCCTTACATAGTTTGAAGCTCCAGCTATATGAAGGAATGCCTGCTGTCCCATCAGTCTACCTGAGAAGTGATGACATCTACTAATTATCTCCAGCTCCACTGTTTTGCATGTCATGGCCATGTCTCTACAGAAGACTGTCTTGTATTTGAAAGGCAATCAATCGATATCTATCTATCTATCTATCTATCTATCTATCTATCTACTATTTTAGTACTGTGGATTGAGCAGACACACAAGCCACCTGGTCATAGGCCACATAACTGAGATGTATTGCTATTTTTATTGCAATCATAATCACAATTTCTAAACTTAATTGTATACAAACATAAATGAGCATGTGGAAAGATTATGAAGATTTGCATAATTTGCCATTTTCTTTCAGTGAGGCATTTCCCCTTTGGGGGATGTGATTCATAAGTGGCCACCATCCCACTGTCAGAAATAAGGAGAGTGGCCACTATGTAGAGGCCATTTTCACTTGTGGTTCTATATCTAAACAATGCTTTTCCCGCAGAGATTGACCTCATGCCTGTGTTGTTGTTGGTTAGGTACCAGGCAAAGAACGTTTCATTCTCCCAGGACTATTATAACTATTCATAGGATGTGAGGACCATTTTTGGCAGCAAAGTGAGATATAAAATTAAAGAAACAAAACAAAGGGCCTTTGCAAACTGCCAGAAATAGTACAAATTGAGTCCACTTTAACTGCCCTGACTCAGTGCTAGGGAATCATGGGGACTGTAGTTTATTGTGGCACCAGAGCTCTCTGACAGAGAAGGCTCAATGTCTCAGAAAAAAATACAGTTCCTATGATTCCCTAGTACCGAGCCAGGACAGTTAAAGTGGATTCAGTTTGTACTATTTCTAGCAGTCTGCAAAGGCCCAAAATTTTGGAAACTGGTCTTCCCGCTGCTTTTTACAGCATTGCCTGTGTTTCTTATTCAATTGCTTGATTGTTATTTTTTATTCAATTTTGTAAACTATCCTGGAACTAATCTGAATGCTTTGGTGTTTCTTACCTGTGTATTTTTACAGACTTCTCTCTGCCATGAATTTTACAGACTTATCCCACCAAAGAGAACAAAGAATGGGATTTAATACCACATTAAACTAACCATTCTGGTACTTATAGCCATTTTTGCAGGTAGAGAGCCTATTAATATTGATGGAAGTGCAGCCTTTTGCTAACAAATCCTCATAAGGCTCCCCTACAGTCAACCTTTCCAACAGCTAAAGTTTTCTTGTGCCCTGTTAACCTGACCATGATAGGAAGGCAAAATCCAAGGCATGCTGACTGAACAAGACCAGGCTGGGATGCTTGGCCTCAAAACACTTGTGTAACTTCAATTGTGATGGATCTCATTCTTGTCTGGAGGAGAAAAACCTAAGCTGACAGGTTTTCCATTTCAGGATTAATAGAAAAATATAACTGAGAGAAAACTGGAAATTGGTCTTATTGCTTTAATTTGAAAAAGTAAATTGGCCCAATTTGGATGATCATTCAAGGCTTCTATGAAAATGAGAATGATGGTTGAAGCCAAATGCTTTCCCTTCTCATTTCTTTTTACACCTTCTGTTGCATGTCAACATTGCCTTAAAATTCCTGGCTTGTACTATGTCAGAACTGAGGAATTCTAGCTTATTGTTGGTTAAAATAGGATGTGACTGAGCACATGGAACAATCATCTTAACCAAGTTGTTAAGGTTTCCTATTTTAAAGCCTTCATGCTTTAACTTGAAAAGAGTTTTGGGCAGAATCCTATTGACATGGTGGCGTTCATATGGTTGTACCAGCATTAGGATTTTTAAAATGTTGCTGGAGAAGATATGGTATTCCTCCATGTGCAATATGTTCACCCAATAGCTCCTAGACATGGCTCCCTCTGGCCATTGATTGGCTATGGGAGTGAGCCTGGATGATATTGATGTGTCATTACATGCCAGGTAAGAAGGAACAGATTTCTGTTGGAAGATAACAATACTACCTCCCCCACATGCTCAATGGCACCCAAATAGCACCCAGTGCCAATAAGTGGGTGGAGATGCAGCTGGGAGCTGCCCAGTTGTCTTTGTACACCTGGAGGAGGAAGCACTGATGTTAGTCTCTAGATCAGCACTAAAAGTGTGCTGGTAGGGATTTATGCTCTGCCAGCATTCAAAACAGGATCTTGCTGACTTTACCCTAGAGTTGCTTAGTACTACCATATATACTTGATTATAAGTCAAACTCATGTATTAGTCAAGGACAGGTATTGGGGGCAAAATTATGGATTTTGATATAACCCATGGATAGGTTGAGGGTAAAGAAAATGCATAAAGATGAAGAACACAACCCATGCAAAAAACAGTGCCAAAGAACTTACAAACTTCTGGCAGGCATAAGTTTGTGCTCAACCTAAAGGCTGGCTAGATGAACTATGGTAAATTGTGATTGTGTGATTTGTGGGGTGGCCAGGTGCAGGCAGGACTAAAAAAATGTGCACATCAAAAATGATGTAAAGGCAAAACAAAGAAAATGGTGACTACATGAACAGTGATTACAGCCTTCAGTATGATAACCTAGCCTGGCCAGTATACACAAATATCTTATTTGAATCCTTCAGAACCCAATTCCTTTCAGCACTCCTCTAAGGGAAAGCTCCGAAGACCTGCTGCCACCACCACCACCATTTTACACCTAGGCATTCAAAAAGGCCAGAGACACTGCCACAGCAAAGAGAGTAGAGGAAGTCAGGGCCTTTTAAAAATAAGAATTAAAATATAGTACTTATATTGGGGATACATTGACCCAGGTTTTTGGGGGTCAAGTTTTGGACTAAAATTTCTAGTCTTCTACATGAGTGTATACAGTACTTCTTCACATAAGTTGGGGCTGACTTGCTAAAATCACTGTCACAGGCAGTGATCATGCCCAGTATCTTAAATGGTTTCATTGGAAGATGAAACACTTAATGGGAAAAAAACACCAATGGGCATTTTAATGGCTTGAAACTTCAAGATCTGTTCAGAGACTTCCTAGGAGCCTCTAGACAGATGAGCCTTTGGCCTGATCGTACAAGTCTCTTCATAAATTTTTATATCACTCCTTTCTTTGGGTCAGTGTTTGGCAATTGCAAGCTTCTTTGAAGGCTGTTTCTGCTAAGGAGTAGAAAAAGATTGTAGCACGTCATCTTGTATATACAGGAGAAAGTCTGATATATGGAGAACCACTGGCTGTGTGAGTCAAGCTCCAGACCTGTGTCCCCAGCTCACATAGTATTTGGTTTACTCTGCCTTGGTCTTAGTAGGAAATCTTGAAGTTTTATCCAGGTGCTCCTTGGGTATTCAGGAAATTGGGATAGTACTGTTAACCT